CTTTCTTGATTAGGTCACCGGTACCCTACCCTAGCCTTAAACCTCGGTTAGGGTTTTCTTAGGGTTTTTGTAGGGCTTAGGGTTCCTCAAAACCTCCCTACTTCCCCGTCCTCTTTGGGCACCCTGGACCCGAACCACCCCTCCCCCTTTAACGGCGCCCGTGCTAGCCTTGCTAGCGCCGTTCGCCGCTTTCTACCGCGGACTTCCCCCTACGCCCTCCGCTCACGCGGACCTCTTCTGGCCCCCTCCAGTCCGGTCCGTCATCTCCCCATGGCCGACGGTGCGTCACACGCCGTCGACACGACGATGACCACGGCATCGGGCTCCACACCCGTGCCGGCGGACCAGGGTCATCAGCCCCAGGGGGATCTACACAMCCTCCTCACCTCCCTCCTCGCGCCCATCCAGGCGCAACTCGCGACCCTCGGGCCCCTACAGGCGCAGGTGGCGACCCTTGCCACCGGCGTGCAGCAACGCCAGGACGCTAGTCGTCCTTCGTCTCCTCATCCTCTCTCTTCTCCTGGCTCTCAGTCCGGGTCCCCAGTTCTCCGACAGGGTGGCCACGGCGGAGTTTCCTCCTCTGCCGCCCCCGACCCGGCTATTTTGGTGACCGTCCACGCCCCTAGCTCGACGACCGCCACGAGTCAGGCCCTTCCTCAGTCTACGGGCGCACCGGCCCAAATTCCGGTTACGACGGCCACGGGACCACAACCCGTTACCATGGTCTCAGCGTTTCCGGGTGCCCCGCTCCTCCCCCCCTTTCGCACGACCGCAGCGCCACCTGGCTCTCCCCCCTCTGGGATGCCCCGCGCCACTTGTGCATCCACTTCCTCCACTCTTCCCCCTGCTACCCCTCGCACGAACTACGTTCGAGGTCTCGAGGACGAGATTGCCCAGCTCCGGGCCAACCTCGCCCTCTTACGCCTTCAACCACCCCCACCCTCACAGGTGGCCTCGCCTTCGGGCGCACCCCCTACCTCCTCTACCCTTCCTCCCATGCAGGCTCGCTTTCCACGCCCTGCACCCTATACAACTCCTTCCTACCTTCTTCCTACTCCCGCGGTTGCTGCGACCTCTTCTACCGCAGCACTCTCTCAGCCTGCCGCTGTTGCCACCACTACTCCCTTATGCGGCCTGGGCGCACAGTCAGCTGCGCCCCTTTCTCCAGGACCTGCGCCGATTTACTCAGCCGTGGCACAGGCCCCCGCTCCTCGATCCCCTCGCCGCCACTACGGTGGCGCACCACTCATCCGCTTGTCGGACATTGCCTTGTATGACGGTACAGGCATACGCGTGTCTCGGTGGCAGCAGTCGGCCACCCGCACACTCCAGCTCATGGGCGCTACACCCGAGACGTGGGTGGGTCACCTCTCAACGCGCCTGCGTGGCGGTCCTTTCGAGGCCTGGGAGGATTTCTATGCCTACTCCCTTCGTGAGGGTCGGACTCCGACCTTCGTGGATTTCCAGGCGTTCCTCGAGGATCGCTTCGGAGCCCGATACGACGTGACTGACGCCTTCGAGCGTGTCGTCACTACACGCCGGTCCGGCTCTGGTGGCGCTGCCGGCCTGGATCGCCACATCCAGGTCTTTCAGGACGCCCGCCTC